AGCTTGAGCACTAGTCAGTGAGGAAGTTGCAGTGAAAGGAAGGAGGAGGTGGTCAGAACTTGAGAGGATCTTGGGATGGTCACAACATAAACACCCCACAGCACATATGAAAATCTAGTTTTCATCTCTTCAAGAAATGGAGTGTCTTAGTCTGTTTTCTGTTGGTGTAACAAAATATCTGAGACCAGTTGATTTATAAAGAATAGAAGTTTATTTGACTCATAATTCTGGAGGCTTGGAAATCTAAGAGCATGGTTCTAGCATCTGTTCAGCATTTAGTAAGGGCCCCCTTGTTTCATCATAACATGGCTTAGAATATATCACATGGAAAGACAGAGCAACCATTCTAGTTTGTGTATTTTTTCCTTTTCCTATAAAGCCATTAATATCAGGATGGAGAAATTAGCTCTGATAATTCAGTTGTATAGGAATGTTTTGTTGAAAAATAAGACCAGGGCTGGGGATGTGGCTCAAGCAGTAGTGCGCTTGCCTGGCATGTGCAGGTAGCTGGGTTCGATCCTCAGCACCACATAAAAATAAAGTAAAGATGTTGTGTCCACCGAAAACTTATATATATTCTCTTTCTCTCTTTTTCTTTAAAAAACATAAGACGAAAAAATACAAAATTTCTGTATGCTATATTTACATTCATCAATATAAGCAAGTAAAAGTGGATTGCCAACACTGTATGCTCAAACTCTCAATATAGCAGGGACAAAGCAATTTACAACTAGAATTTTTCATATAACATATAGCCACAAATTCTAACTAGCATATTTTTTTTGCTGTGTAATACTTTTATTAAACAGTTTTATGGGGAAAAACCCACATTTCTGCATGAGTTACACATAATTTTCAGGCAATTCAGGGTCCAGTGACAATTACATTTGGAGAAAAGGTTTAAAATTCATACTTGTTTGTATTCCACTCCTTTGTGAAATATTGAAAAGCAGCCTCTGTATCTCAGCATTAAAGGTTACAAAAAGCACCACTTAATGGAGGTTCTCACATATTTTATTCCCTTCAAATTACAGTCTTTATTCCCCCTTTGTGACAGATACAGAGCTACACTCCTTCCAGATGCTTTAGTGTAATACAAATCAACATTCTCTAATTCACCAAAATTCAAACAAGACTCTCATATAGGGGACCCAGTGCAAAAATTAGGACTAATCAACAACAGTGAGCTTTGGCTGTCCTAAAACCGCAAGCTGGGTAAGGTGCTCTCTGAAGTCGAATAGAAAATAAGTAAGATCATCAATATCTAACAATATAGATATCCCTTGACCATCTAACTCGATACCTATAAAATCCATACTGTTTAGTATTTCACACCAATCTTACTGCAAAAAGTACTGTGCTATACATGATTCAAGTCAACACCATCTACTGTTGAAAGCAATAACAAAATTATTTTTTACTGAAGCTTATTTACTTCAAAGCACAAGTAAGAAAAACAAATCACACAAGGCCCAAATGAGAATCCTGGAGGGATTCTATTGCTCATAATTGGATTATACAAGTAACAAACTTGGAGGGTTTTTTTTCTTCCTTCCTTTTCTGTTAAAATTTTTTAAAAGATTTGGCTTTTTACTCCAAAAGTTTAGGTTCACTGCAGAAATCAGTTTCTCAATCTCCAGTTGTGATTGGCACTTAAGGAGAGACAAATGCCTAGACCCATAAAGTTTTGAAAGACCCTTATCCCTACCAGGTCCTTCATCCCATGGGTAATTGGAGCCAGCAGCCCCTGGTAGAAGACAGCAAGAACTTGGCTTTAAGGATGAAGCAAATAATGTTTGAATAAGTTATATAGTGTTTATAAGCCCATGCCCCAAATCACTAGAATGTGAGGATATAGAAATCTCTGAGAAAGGATATATTTCAAACACACACAAACATAGACTATTGCATATCATTTTTAATTGAGGTCAAAATTTTAAAAGCCTTATTTCCCCAATAAAAGCAGGGAATTCAATCATTAGTGTTTCTCCTTCATTTACACCCCAGATTACTATAAATCCTGTCTGGAGATATCACTTCTTTCCAAACTTCACTTCATTTTAGCAGCATGCATGGAATACTGGCACTTTTCAAAGGTTTTCTCTCAAATTCTGTAGATTTACAAGGACTAAAAATAACTGGAAGAAAAGTGAGTGAGTCTGGTTTGTCGGATCCTCTCAGAAGCATCTTTTGGATGACTCTTTTACACGTTAATTACACAAGCATGTGTTAAGAAAAGTCAGCACTGCAGGGGTGTTGCCTATAGTGGTTAAATCCCATTCAAGTCTGAACTTAAAGCAACCTACTAACTCTGGTGTGGAAATTCTCCATACCAGTGAAATGACTAACCTATGTATTTTAGGTAACATTTAACTTAAGACTTTGGTAGAGTCCATCTGACAAATAAAATTAAAGCAGCTAGTAGGAACAAGAAACAAAGGGAAAATGTTCCACATAATGCTAAATTTTGTATAATGAGATCCAAGGATATATCACCAGGTTATGTCTGATTTAAATTGTCTTATAAAAATGGATTATTTTCAGTTACTTTGTCCTTTACTCCTCAACTCAGTCACTCTTCTTTCTTTGCCCCACAATCACAATACCATACTGCTGTTGTTAAGGGTCAGCCACCTTTTAAGAGCTATCTTCTTATCCTGCCAACTATGACTTAAACAAAATTCCTAGAGGTAAAAAAAAAGGTAAAAAATTTATTTTTGCTTTTATTCATTTTCAAATTCTACCACTCTCTTCTAAAGAAAATAACCTCTCTCTTTAACTAACCAATATAAAAGGGTGAGTTATCAGGCTCCCTTTATTCCTCCCTTTTCCCCTTCTAGAACAGTTTCTTGGTGACAGACCAAAATAGGGTATCTCAGGGCCATTTATTAGCAGGCTAGAAAAGAAACTGTGTTGAAGTAGTCACTACCCAATTCCCCCTACATATCCCTTTCCATATCTACTGGTAGGCACCTATTTCACATCTGGCTGGGAAAGAAGAATTTGGGAAACAAAATTTTTACATTTCTACATTTAAATCTGAAGATCACCAACAATAAAACATACTGTCATTAGAGCCAGACCCAACCGACGAGAAGCCTCTGGTCTGAGACACATAGAGGAGATTTCCTTCCCTGTCCCACAATACTCATATACCAATTTGGAGTAAAAAGTTTAATACGTGAACACACAGATAATGGCATTTCAGTACTATTGACAAGAAATGAATATGAGAGAATCCTCCATGTAAAACCAAGATTTTAAATCCTTCTAGGTGGCCCAATTACTTAATGGATATTGGGTAAGAACAAAATTCCAGCACAACTAAAGACTATATAGGTCCTGAGAGTTGGTTAAAATAGGATTTGGCCTGGATTTTTATAATGGCACACCACTGACAAAATGGTTTGGACCATAAAAGATTCTCTACAAAAACCTTTTGTTTCAGAAGGTGGCTTTGAAAGGCAAAAGCAGTATCTACTCTCCACAATTAACCACCAATGCACTTAGTAGCTTGCATTCCCTGCTAAACTACAAGCCCACATCTTATTGCCTCATACCTGGGACCAAGGAGGTCTACGTTCCCAAAGATAACTGAATTGTCAGCTTTGCATGGAAAAAACAAGAGGTAGCTAAACTGACCTGTAGGTGCCCTTTCAGTGTGGCTGGGTTCATCTTAGCAGTCAAGGAGTCTCTCAACCATCAAGTATGGCTTCCTTCAAGGTTGAATGTTTGACTTGCATTTATCTGTAAAATGGAAGAGCCAAGATACTTGGAAAAAATGTCTTATCTCTGAACCCCAAGGGTGGATTGAATATTTTTCAGTCCATAAATGGAAATCAGTGACCCCACCTCATTACTAAACACATTTTTTTAAAAAGAGGCACAAAGAAAAAAGTGATCTTCTTACTATTTAGTACAAAGACCCTTCCAGGAATACTTTCTTGTATCATGGCCTTTACATCTTACCAGGTGAGGGAATCCATATGTGTATCAATGAGTCTGTATGAACTTGTATCAGGAGCAGTACTTGGGATAAAGATGAACATGGGTCTGGCCATATTAACATAAGAGTATAGTCTCCTCTAACTAAAGAAGAAAATCTTAAGGGCCATTTATTAAAACCCTTAAGTTATCTAATATAGTCTTTTAAGACCAATGAAAAGGAATTTTTTTTTAATTAAAGAAAAATGCAGGCACATAAAAATCTTTCAAGGATAAAAGTCTTAGACGTGTTCCCTGGTCCATGTCTATCTGCAGAGCTGTCTGCTCTGAGAAAGCATAACTGGAAACAAGGCCAGGCCAAACAGGAAAACCTATGTGCCATACAGTCAAAGCTGTAGTAGCAAATTAAAAGAAAAAAATAGATCTTCTGCATATGCCTTTCTTATAACATTGAACCCATATTTTCTTTAGTAGAAGTTTAAAACAAGTGGTAACAAAGTGGTTTGGGCTTCTGGTGGGCTAAAAAGGAGATATTCTGACAACCCTCATCAATAAGGTGGGTCAGGTCCCACAGAACTTTCCAAAGGGGTCACTTACTGAAAGAATTTTGTGAGGGGTCAGGTATGGGATCTGAGGGAGGCTATTAAAGGAAGAATGTGAAATAAGAGAACAAAGCGTTCTTGTGAGGCATTTTGTTATATCAAAAAACACAGACTGTGCCACACACTGTGAAAATACAGAGACCCCATGCAAGAGAAGCTGCCCCTGCGAGGCAGAAGCTATAAGTAGGGCAACAGTCTAGCTCAAGTTCATTTTTTGGACACCAAAGGTAGCAGTGGTAGAATCTTCACCCAACAAGAGTTTGCTGTTCTTTCATTTTAGGGGAAAAAACCTCCCTGTACAGTTATCTCTATAGCTCCCCAAAAGGGGTCCTGGTGAATACCCATAGCTGGGGCTAGGAGGCTTCCAATAACCTTCCCTTCATATGTATATGTTTTCTTCTTTAAAAAAATTCCATGAACTCATAAAGCTCTCATCTGCAATCAAATACAAAAGCAGAGCATCCTACTCAGAAGCTCTGAAACACACATATTGGCCTGAAAGCAAATCAGCCTTCCAGTCTCAGGTAAGACTGGTTCAGTTCAAAGGCCAGGGAGAAGCTTCTCCTGAATCCATGAAGGCAAGACAGGATGGCTTCAGATGGGCTTGTACAGCAGTGTAGTGACATACTTCTTCTTGTAACGATGGGTTGCACTAAGAACCATCACACTGTCCTTAATAGATAATGCATAGAGATGGCTCAGCATAACATGGTTGGACTCAGGAAGTAGGGCTGGGTCACAAGAAATATTAGTGTCCTTGTTAAGAATAACTTGGAGTGGGTGAGGAGGAAGGATGGGTGGGGATTTGAATCTCTCTTCAGATCAAAATACATACATTTCTTGACCATAAGGCCCCGGGGGTGAACTGGAAAGGTCTTGACAAGATGTCTCAGAACTTTCCATAGAATCTAGTTTTAAAGCATCAAACACCTCAAAATCAGATTTCTTGACATGGATCAAATTGTTAATCATGCCAAGCTGACTGGTAACCACAGGCTCTGATGGATCATGAACCCACTGTCCATCTACAAAAAACTTGTATTGGTGCTCTCCCTCGGGGAGGTCCAGGATGGCAACGAAGTCATTATGGCTCTTGATCAGTGGAATCTTGGTGCTCCAGTTGTTGAAGGACCCAGAAATGAAGACCTCCTTGCCTCCTTCAGACCAACGGATAACAGTAGGCCGGGCCTGCTGCGTAGGCTTTTCAGAGTCGTCCAAATCTTGCTGCCATGATACAAACTCTTTGTCCCCAGGGAGCTTGGAGTCCGGCAGGCTGAAAACGCTGGGGTCGTCGGTGCTCCCGACCATGATCTTGTGCTCCTTGCCGGGGGCATGGCCGCCGCCGCCTTCCGCGCGAGCAGCCTTGGCGCCGTGGCGCTCCCCGGACACCCGGTCGCTGGTGGTGTTTCCCATGGCTGCAGCTGAGTCGGGGGCCACCTGGCGGGGAACACCCCAGCGGCAGCGGCAGGGGCACACCCGCCCCTAACTAGCATATTTGATTACATCTCAGTTCATTTTTATCTTGCAGGGCCCAAGGGAATAGATTTTATGAGTTGAAGATGCAAAATATGTTTCAATAATTTTGATTAGAAATAAATGTGAAACAAAAAGTGAATGAGTAGTTATAAAACAACAGGGTCAGAATTTAGTAAGACAACAGGGAAATACAGATGGAGACAGTGGAAGCTGAGAGCAGCAATAATGAGATGCCAGTGCTGGCACTTGTACTTTCCAGTCTCTAGAACTTTAATAAATAAATAATTTTAAGATAAATTATATAGTCTGGGTTTTTTTTTTAAAAAGCTGCATAAATAGGCTAATACATGGTTAAGGAAATAAAAATGCAAGCCATAAAATTAAAAAAAAATGTGTAGGGAAATGCCCAGAATACATAAAGAATGCTTACAACTAATTAATGAGACAGACAATGCTTTATAAAAGGTTTGGAAGACAGTTCACAGAAGAAGATATGGCAGTCACTGATAAGTCGTGAAAGATGCTCACTGGCAGTAGTCATCAAAGAAATGCAAATTACAACCATAGTGACTTGCCACCATACACCAACTAGAATGAATAACATTAAAAACATCTAATTTAAAACCACATTTTAACAGAATTTGGAGCAAGTAGAAATATCATATACTACTGCTAAAAATAAAAAAGTCACATCTCATTTGTAAAACAGTATCACAAATCCTTACATAAACATTCACCTTATGATCAAATATTTCACACTTAAGAATTTGTCCAATAGGTGGGAAAACATGTCTATACAGTCATACTTAAATTCTCATAATGATTTTATTTATAATTGACCCAAAGTGGAAATAATACATATTTATCAACTTAAACAATAAAATATAATCTAAGAATGGAGGATGCTGCAAACAGTATTTAAAAGAAAATGTATAAAATTCAATGAATAACAAAATTTTTATAAACAACTTCTGCCAACAAGTCAGTTTGATAACTTCTGTAGTTTGACTTTACTATCTCACAGATTTGCATGTGTTCAATACCTAGTTCCTGCTGGGCACTATAGAGAGGAGATGGAGTCTTTAAATGTGGAACCTAGTGGGAGGTCTTGAAGACATCTAGGCATGCCCTGGAAGGAGACAGTGGGACCGTGGTCCCTTTTTCCTCTTTTTTGCTTCCTGGCAATGAGATGAACAGCTTTGCTTCACCATGCACTTCCCATAATGTGCTGCCACAGGCCCAAAACAACAGGCCAACAGATCATGGAGTGAAACTTCCAAAACTGTGATTCAAAATAAACCAACATGCACTTCCATCTTAGGACACTTAAACCACTGCCTTGGTCCCCTACATGTGGTAGCCTTCACCTGGGGACACCACACAAGGTCTAGAGACAGCTACCAGCCACAGCACTGACTGCCACAGAGCTGCATCTCTGAACACATTGCCCAGTGCCACCACCTGGCACCACCCAACCTGGCACCTCATTGCTGAAAGCAGCTACCTCCATCTTAGGACACCTTAGTCACCATATTTAGTTGGGGAAACTCCCAGCCTGGAACACCAGCTGGGGCTTAGAAGTAACATTAAGGCAATGACAGTCCCAAACTCCCCGCTATCTCCAGCAGCCGCTAACCTGGCACAGTGACTTCCCAATATAAAACAGCTCTCGAGAGAGGTGCACAGCTCCAACAGTACAGCCCACAAGACATCTGGAGATAAAGGTTCCTGACTGGGAAGTAAAAGAGATGGGATGAGTAAGATACAGGTTAGAGATTAAATTAGAGAAAACAAATTGTGAGGTCTATATATGATATAAAGTGTTAAGACCAGGGGCCCACATCACATGAGCAGGCCCCAAAGGAGATCCTTGGGGTGCAGTCTCCCAGCAGGAAAAAGCAGGTGTTGTACTCCATCTCGAGGAGCTCTGCCCACAAGACCAACCTTCCCAGCCTAATAACCTTCACCATCCTAAGGGTGGTGATACCAGCAAACAACAGACAACCCCACCTGTTGGATAAAAAGGGAAGCAGGAAAAATACTGATCTCCTACAAAAACAATCCTTGTATCTTCCTTTGAGATATATATATTTTTTCTTCTTCTCTCTTCTCCTGCCCTCATATCCCCAAAATTTGTGAAGTCAAGTACTTATCATGGATTAGGCTACTGAGAACTGGGATGTCTGAATAGTATACTATAGTTGTGTTATATATTCTTTTATCTCTTATTTTTATATTTCTATTTTTTCTTAATATTTATGTTTGTTTTTTGTACTCTAAGGTATATCAAATTACTTGTCTCCCCAAAATCACTTTCTCTCTCCTCTTTTTCTGCAAACCAACTTCTTTAGATTTCTCTTTCACACTTCCTAAGATCTAATAACTCTATATCATTACTTCCTACCCCCTCAACACCTCATCCTACACCTCACCCCTGATTCTTTGTTCATCAGCAGAACTACAGACCCTTTAGCAAACCTACTGTTTATATCATAGATAATATAAAACTCACCATTTCTGTATAATGTGACAAAACCATAAATGTCTTAATAGCAGCTATTTAGTGTAAGGTTGTATATTGTTTGTTTTGGGATCTGTTACCACTGTTCTCCCCTTAAAAAAGAGGTATTGGAACCCTGAAGGGACACTATAAGCCTGTAGGGTAAAAATGGTCACACCTCAGATCCACAGTGCTAGAAGAAAAGACACACAAACAACTTAAAAAAAAAAAAAGGGAAGAAAGTGCCACAAACAAAAGATACTACATTATTAGAATCCATGGCCAGCATAAGAGAAGAAATTATAGAGAAGGAGTTCATGATGTACATAATTAAAATGTTCTGTGAATTAAAGGATAATATCATAAAGCAAACACATTCAGCAAAAATCATTTCAATAAAGCAAATACAGAAAGCTAAAGATTACTTCCATAAGGATACATAGGTTCTTAAAAAACAAACAGAAATCTTTGAAATGAAATAAATAATAAACCAAATTAAAAGCTCAATTGAAAGAATCACCAACAGATCAGATCACTTGGAAGACAGGACATCAGATAATGAAGACAAAATAAATAATCTTGAAAAGAATGTTCACCTCATAGTGAAGATGGTAAGAAACCATGAGCAGAACATTCAAGAAATATGGCATAACATAAAAAGACCAAATTAAGATTATTGGGATAGAAGAAGGTACAGAGTTCCAAACCAAAGAGATGAACAATCTCTTCAATGAAATAATATCAGCAAATGTTCCAAACATGAAGAATGAATTGGAAAATCAAATACAAGAAGCTTACAGGACACCAAATGTACAAAATCACAACAGATCCACACCAAAGCACATTATAATGAAGATTCCTGGCACAAAGAATAAGGAGAGAATTTTGAAAGCCACAGTAGAAAGGAATTAGATTACACATAAGGGGAAAACCAATTAGGATATCTGCAGAATTCTCAAGCCAGACACCAAAAGCTAAAAGACCCTGGAAGCTCTGGAAAAAAAAAAATGAATGCCATCCAAGAATCGTATACCCAGCACCCTGGGGAGTTTCTCTGAATGACCACACACTTTCCAGTCCTAAATCAGGAGGCTCTGAACAATTACTACATTTCATGGTGACTTGGGCATTGTCCCAGCTTGGATAGCAAGGCAGGTTCTCAGGTGTAGGTGTCACCCACAAGGGTTAAGTTATACTCACCTGTCCCTTGTAACCCTGCCCTTCTGACCTTTTTTTTTTTTTTTTTTTGGATAGAATTTTCTAAAGAACAAGAGTCCCCCCAATAAAATCTCACTTCCGAATGTGCTTACTCTCTCTCTCTCACCAGCCTCTCATGACTTTCTCTTGCTCTCCCTTTTGGGGACTCTGAGGACAAGAGTGGAGAAGCCATCCTACAGCTTGTGTAAAGGAAAATCGTGTCTGTGTTTTATTTGGTGTCCCTGCAATTCACACGAGTGATCTTAAGTTCAGCTGTCCACTCAGGTCACAGATGGCACAGAACAATTAAGCTTTAGATTTGATGATAAAATAAAAACCTTCTAGGATAAACAAAAGTTAAAAAGTTTTCAGCTAGAAAGGCTGCACTACAGAACATCCTTGGCAAAATATATATTCCATGAGGAGGAAATAAAAAACAACAATAAAAACCAGCAAATGGATGTATTACACTAAAGGAAAAGCCAATCACAGGAGAAATCATGTCGAGTTAAAAAGCCAAAATAAAAATGACTGGGAATACATATCATGTCTCAATAATAACCTTGAATTTTAATGGCCTAAACTCACCAAAGACATAGACTGGCAGATTAGATTAAAAAAAAAAAAGACGCAACAATATGCTGCTTTCAAGAGACTCATCCCACAGGAAAAGACATCAATAGACTGAAGATGAAAGGTTGGGAAAAAAACATACCACTCACATGGATTGTGGAAACAAACAGAAATTTCCATGCTCATATCAAATAAAATAGACTTCAAGCCAAAGTTAATCAAAAGGGATAAAGAAGGACACTTCATACTGCTTAAGGAAAACATACATCAACAAGATATAACAATTATAAATATATATGCTTCAAACAATGGAGCATACATTCTTCAAACAAACTTTTCTCAAGTTCAAGAGTCAAATAGACCACAACACAATAAAACTGGGCAACTTCAACACTCCTCTTTCACCACTGGCTAGATTTTCCAAACAAAAGCTAAACAAAGAAAATATAGAACTCAATAATGCAATCAATAAATTAGACTTAACTGACATATATAGAATATTTTATCCATCAATGAGTGAATATACTTTCTTCTCAGCAGCACTTGGATTCTTCTCTAAAATAGATGGCATATTATGCCACAAAGCAACTCCTAGCAAATACAAAAAAGTAGAGATACTACCTTGTATTCTATCAGACCATAATGGAATGAAATTAGAAATCAATGA